AGATAACGTCATGTCTTCAAGATGAACTGACATACAAATATCAGCTGGTTCAGAAAAAGTAAACCAAAAAGAACATTACACACTGCCTTGCCTAAATACTCAGAAAGAAAAAAGTAAAAAAAACACCACTCAAAAATCCCAACAATTGCTGCTTACTTCACCTACACATGATGCATCAAATGCTTCAAAGTAGCTGAATTCATCCACAACTTCTCTGAAAGCCAGCACTAAAGTTTAAATCCTTTTAAGATCCCCCAGTTGCAACACAGAGCAAAGTTTGCTGCTTGCATAAAGCTCACCAAGGGGCTGTGGTACCAAGAAGCTCAGGCTCCAGCAGCCTGCTAGCAGGGAAGCCCCTGGGCCACGACGACTGGGAGCCAGGTTTGCTTATAAACCTTGCAACTCTTGTCTGAGAAGGTAGAAAAGAGGTTTCTAAGCGTTCCTTCACTAACAATCCAACCCCAAAGCAGAAAGTCAGGCACACACGAGTTCTCTATTTTTCTATATTCTCTGTGCCGGAGGAGCTGCAGCCTTTTGTGTTGAATGATTTCACGTTCATGTTCAGCAAGAGTCCTGTGCAGACATCAAAGGAAAACATTAAACTTCCTTGGTAAGCCTTAGGCTAACTTCAGAGGATACATCACTGCATAATGTTTAGCAGTTGCATCACAGTAATTCATGAAAAAAAAAGAAACTGCAGGACGCCCACAAGACATTCCCTACATATTTCCATAATCAGGGATGCTTCTGAGAAAAAAAAAAAAAAAAAAGTCAGCCAACCAAGACACTAACAGGGCTGTGTTTGGCCTGGATTTTTCTGCTCTTGTTCCCATCTCTTTTTCTGGACATCAGGTACATTCGAATTCAAACAGAAAAGGCTGACAAAGAATTTGACTAGCACAGGGTAGATAGAAACCAGCATCACATCTGCCACTTTGAGAAAGAGAAGAGATGCTAGTTACACTGCTGAATGTCCATTCTGTCAGCTGTTCCCGCAGGCCCCACTAGAAAACGATGCAGAAGGCACATTTCGCAAGAAAAGCCCCTCTATCTCCTTCCTGGAGAGGTTTTGTCACCATTGATTATGGAATGCATGTTTTTCTTAAACATTCTAAAAGCCAGGGGATGTTCTGCCTAGGAAGGCTAAATGTAACAACAACTATCTTTCACTTGTTTTTTGGCAATTGGAGGCATTGAAATATGCTTTTTAACTACAGTCACCTGGCAAGGTATTTTTGTTTTTACAGTAAAGCCAAAGAGGATTAGGACACACTGTACTAATTCACGAGAGCAGACAGGACCTGCTCCAGAGCTTCATCTTCCAAGCAGACTGGAAAAGACAGCAGCATTTCAATTGTACAGGTGGGGAAAGGAGGAACAAAGACATTAAGTGACTTACTCAAGGTCACACAGGAATCTGTTGCAGGGCAAGGCTGAGTTGCCAAAGTCTCAGTCCACTTAGACACTGGAAAAAGCAATGAAACACAAGTACCTACTAAATTTGGCACTGATTTCTAAATGATGCATTGCTTCAAGGGAACAACAATCTCCACTCATGCTAACCCAGACACCAAAGGAGCACATAAAGGAAAAATAGTTACTCACTCCACCCAATCTGATCACCTTGTATTTCCCAAGTCAGTAAGACCTTTCTTGGCCAGACAATCCAACCCACAATTTAGATCTTAGTGCAAATCAGACACACTAAACCACTTTATCCCTCTGGCTGCAGAAGACAAAAGGCCAAGTAAGAAGGCAACGTTTTGGTAACTGGCTTCATGTAACAGCTTCAGATTTTCTTAAAAGCCTCAGCATCGATTAACTTCTTTAAATAGCAACAGCTTATTGAGAAACCTTCTACCCGTTTTAACGCACGAGGTTTTCCTTAAGTAGAAAGGAAAGCAAAAACTGCCCTGCCAGGGCATATTTGTCAAAGAGTTTTGGATACCCAGTCCTGGCAAAACACTTTGAAGTCAGAGTAAGTCAACATCGGTGCTGAAGGGCTAAGAGGGAAAACTTGGAGATGAAGAGGAAATAAAGTACGGACTGACACAGAACAATACTGGGATTCAGCTCCAGCTTGCGTTTCAGCCAACGGCACGAGCCAGCGCTGCAATCTGTGTGCATCCAAAGGAGCTAAAAGCTCATGGCATGCAACGCAGCACAGCTCTCACGCAGTCTCTGCACAACTCGGGGCAAAAGGAATAGAGGAATTAATTTCATCAAGCCAAATCACCAACACCCTGCTGTTACATAAAAGCCTGTTTTCTGGGGAACCTTTCCAAAGATGGTGTCATTTGGGCCGTTTCGATTAAAGTGACATAGTCAGGTTCAAGATGGGATACACTACAGCCTGAGAAACACCCCGGTTTGACAGTCTCCCACTCCCTTTTTAGTCCTCACGGCACTTGTTTCTTCTTTCCGTTTGCCACATTTTCACACGGAAAACAAGCACTGCCTGGTTCTCGGATGCCAATATAAGGCTGTGATGAAAGAACTGCAGAAGGCCTCAGGGCAATGTTTAAAACCTAACTCAAACAGATAAAAAGATGACTAAGTTTGCCTGAGAAAGTTCCTACACATATTGGAAACCCCTTGAGGCAGGGACTGCCCTTCTGTTCCCAGTTTAATAGCCAGTTGCACGAATTACGATTGCACAATTACTTTTATAGAGTTTTCAATTATACAAAAAAATGTATCTTATTAAAGGTTTATAACGCTGAGAAATAAAACCTAAAACCCCAACCCCTTTGCATTCAAGTTGCATGACCTGCAAGTGCTCCACCAGCAATGCGGACCCAACACTACTGCAAATTTACACCACAGTCTACAACGAACTTTATAACGAGCAGATACAAGCACTGCAGCACACCATAGTTAATACTTCCAAGATTCAATACACACAGCCTCAGACTGTGCTTCCATACCTTCCCTCCCGTGTCCCAGTTTTAGCAGTCAGCACTCTTGGACCGTTTCTGCATGCCTCGACGGCTGGAAGCTCAAATTCCAAAGCAGTGCGCAGCCCTGGCATTGCTCTGCTGGAAGCTACTTACCTGCAAAACTGGCTGCGTTGCACAGCAGACCAGAAAGAGCATGGACATGGAACAGGGAGGGGAAGGAAGCGTCAAAGGTGAAGCCACTGGGCATGCATAGCCCTGTGTTTTCCCTGGCTGAGGACCAGATACGTCAAAAAAGAGCAAAGCACAAACTCTAATCTACCATAAAAACAGTAAGCAAAACAAGTCGTCTTTATTCAGTAAAGCATCTTCTGTGTCCCAACACAACACCCAGCTGGTAACAACTCTCCCAATGAAAAGGCAGGGGAGTGACTACCCCATTTTACAGATACCTCGAGCGAGCACAGGAGTCTAAAGTCACATAGGTGATCCAAGAGGTTGAACGTATTTCACATCCAGAACTGGGCACAGACTGCTGTTGGCATTTACATTTCAAAACTTCTTTCTGTTGAAGTTCTCCTCTTTAAAACCTTGAGGTTTTGTGGTCCTCAAGGACAGCTCTGCTAAGAACCACTGCAATTGTACCAGAACAAGAGGAACCCCCCAGGAGGGGGAATGACTTGGAGGTGAGAGCCTAGTAGGAAGTCTGTCTATTCAGAAACTGCAAAAACCAAAATTGTAGCAGTCTGCAATCAGCATTATTCATACCAGAACACTTAAATCCAATTGTGTGGCATGCAGACATCATCACAGAGGTACACATCAACCTGGCCCACACAACGACCACGAGAAAAAGGAAAGACACAGGTCTAAGCACCCAACATGGAGAATCCAAAAGGACCTCCACAGCTGCTAAGATGTCCACCCCGCAAGCACAGATGCCCTTGGCGCAAGGTGACACATTCTCATGTTTTCCATGCAAACCAGAAGCGGGGAAGCACTCCACACTTTCCAAGGCGCAGAGCCCCTCTGTCCCTTGTGCTCTGGTCTTTCTCTCAAGGCTGCCCCAAGAAGCTGAACTGCTCTGAGCTGCGTGCGCACGCACATACACAGAGTTCACAGCACAATTTCCTCTCATCTCAGCTAATAAATCTTATGGCGCGTCTGTTTCTTCTGAACACAGATTTTATAAGTTGAATAAACTTTATGGAAGGGTTGATTGCCAAGGCAGCCAAAACCTGGAAACCTGATGCCTGACCACAGCCAGGCTCTGCAGGCTCCAACAGACACTCTGAGAAAGTTTGTTTTTCGCACTTCAGAAAGAGATCCTCTTACCGCCTGCTCCCTCTGCATCAAAGGCACCCGACTTGCTGACTCTAAAAGCTTTTAAATTAGCTTATCCTCAAGACCCTTTCCTTTGTGATCAACACATCAGAAGACAGGACAGAATCCTTCCACCCTCCCCAGCTCAGAGGACATTGTACCCCCCATCCTTTGCTTTTTCACTGCAAAGCGTCTTGTTGTCAGACTGGCAAAACCAGGAGGGTTCGAACAATAACTCATCAGACTTTGGAAAGCTGTCTTACATTTTGGTGGAAGTATCAGAGAACCTTCCCTTAAGTAGGGGCTTTAGTGTAGCCACTTGGTACAGCTCAGAGTTTAACAGAGAACATCTCCAGGCACTTCACCTTGAAATCACGATCACGCAACAACCCATCAGTTATGCTGACAAGCACATACATGAACAAAAGGTATCAGGAAGGTAATTCATGCAGTCCTGGCTATCAGTGTAGTTTCACAGCTGGAAACAAGAGGGAGGAGGCCATATCATGGGGAGAGACAGACCACCAGTAAGCGCTCCAGAGGCCTGAATTTGGAAACCTGTCCCCTACAGCTATTTTCAAGTTGACTTAAAACAAAAGCAGCAGCTCACAAATAGATTCTTTAGGCCGAGAGCCCATTTTCCAAGCCAAAACTGCTGTACTGGTTCAGGCCAGGCACTTCCACCAACAGCAAGTGACCTGCAAGGCGAGCGAACGCACCCTTCCGCTCCCCGGGGAGGCGGCGTCCGCCCAGCACCTGCGGGTGAGGTCATGGACGTACCTTGGAAATGAGCTCATCGTGGTTGGCAAGATGAGCCCTGCAGTGAATGCAGCTGTAGGTCCTGTGGCACGAAGGCAGATACGCCTGGAAAGTCTTGGACCTTGTCATCTTCACCATTGGAGCCACTGAGCGCTGCGTGAACTCTGGGGTGGCCCAGGAGGCACTCCCGCAGGACGGGTCGCACGGGAAACACCGGAAGACACAGGTAAAGGCCGTGGTTTGGCAGGTGACGGGTGTGGGGCAGGCTCCACACGCTGGTGACCGCTTCAGAGGAAGAGATTCAGGCAGAAGGAACGGGGGACTTTGCACAAACCTGAGTTCAAAAGAGAACAGAGACAGAACGTTCAGCTCACAAAGGTGACAACCGTTTCCCAGCCCGCAGAACGATCTAGATGTCAACTGAGAGCAGGGAAGAGTCAGAGCAGCCAGGAGGCAGGTGTGATGTCTGCAGATTAGGTTAAGGAGGACAGCTCAGTCACTGACTTGTTGACTGCCCTCGCGTCCTCCTGCTTCTGTTATCTGCCACCTTCCTATCGCTCCAACGCTTGCAGTCTCTACTCATTCTTCCAACACGTAATGGGTTTGGAAGTTGACTACAGAGCCACAAAGATGCTAAAAAGATGATTTTCATCATGCCTGATCTCCCAGATGCCTCTGGGAAACTGCACACGTTAAGGTCCGACTCTGCACCATGCCTTGGAGAAGCCGGGCTCTCTTAGCTAGAGAGAAGGTCAGGACCTGGAGTCAGCCCTGCCGGTTGCTGCTCCTGCGTGACTCGCTGATGCGACACCCCGGCAGCCCACGGGAAAGCTGGGAGCTGGATGTGGGTTTCCTCAGCCACCAGGAAAGCGCACGAGTCACCAAACCAGTTCTTCTTTCCGTTCTGCCCTAGTTCCCACATGGGAAATGGAGGATTACTTCATTACGCTCTCCTTTATAACTCCCTGCACGCTCTGAAGGTAGAAGCTACTCTCTAAACTGCACTCCACTGTATTTTTTTTTTTTTACTCAGAACATTTGACAGCAGTCAAAGCAAGGAACAGCCCCCAAAGACTATTCTTGATAGCAAGAGACAGTTAAAAATCCTATTCAGGATGGAAACACCTTTTTACTATCCAACATCACTTGACAGAACCTGCAAGGCAACTCAAAAGTCTGGGTCTTTTTTAGTCGGCAGCAATCAGTTTTTCAGATCCCACATCTATAAGGCTTACCAGCTACAAATGTTTCTTTTGAGAATGGAAGAGGCATAAAGGATAAAGGAGGCAGCTCCCCTCCCTCCTTGATACATGGCGTGCATGCATGCTCCAGAAATTAATCATGAACTCCAGCTGCTCCTCCCATGAGACTTTTCCTTTCCATAAAACATGTGATTCTGTTCAGTTTCTGAGTCTGCACTTTGTGCATCAAACACTGGAACAGTACTAACGCCCTCCCAAAAGAAAGACAAAAAAAAACACACCAAGAAATAAAACCCCGACACCTGACCTGCAATGGAAATTTCTGAAGTGGACCAAAGAGAAAAGCACACGAGCTTAAGAGCTGGTCTCTGAGCCAGTATGAGTAACTTGCCTGAAGCAGAGCTGATAATCTTCCAGGTTGGGATAAAGCTGGCCCAGGTCACTACGCTGTGATGCTGCTAAAATGGCTCCCAGAGCCTGCGTGTTAAGCTGGCTCTGCTGCTCTCAGTAGGATGTGCCCTCCCAGAGCACCAGCTGCACACCCAGTCCAAGGTACACAGCAGAGAACTGAGGGACTAGGACTATCTCAAATACATCTCTCTGGCTTTATATAAAGGGGAGACTGTCAAAACAGCAGGATGGAAATCAGAAAGTCAATGGGGGAACCAAAGGCAGGACTCAAGAAAACTGTTGTAGGAGGTAGTCCTGCAGAACTCATAAGCATCCCATTTAGATGATCTCCTTTGCCCAGTGCTAGCATCAGAAGTATCTCACTGTGACAAAACTGTCCAAGTCATTCTGAAAACGACAAAAAAAAAAATCAGACTGTGAACCCATTACTGCTGTCTGCCAGAAAGCCTCGTGCGTGATCACCGTCAGACAGCAAGATCTGCAAAAAACCTCACCCTCTTCCACACTGCTGCTCCTAAATCTTCTAGTCATTGCTGAAAAAGAAGATTCAAGGTATCCAAGTTGCTGCAGCGTTTCTGAAAGCATTACCCGCGGAACCTACCGCCAGATGGACAATGCCCAAGAGCCAGGCACGTTATCTGCAAGCCTTCCAGTAGACAGTTCCTACAAGGGCTGTACTGGAGGGTTGTCACAGGCTCACGTGGGCAGCATTTGGTGCAGTCAAAGGTTCACTATGCTATGGCCATGTGCAGTGTTCAACAGGAGGCAGACACCAGTAAGCCAATAGGATACCCATTTTTTTTTCTTTTTTATGAAATATTTTTCTTACACTTTCCAGAAGACAGATCCCTTACATTCAAATGGGAAAAAAAGTCTTACTCATCCTGCAAACTGCTGATAAAGCATATCTATCATGATCATAATAGTCAGCACTTACATAGCACTTCTCATCCTTAAAGCTCTTAGCAAACACTAACTAATCAGATTAACCTTTTCCAATTAAAGTTACAGTTGGAAGACCCATCCTGACACAGAAGGGCTTGCTTCCCAGCTTGTTAGGAACTAAACCTGCTCTTGTTCAGTCAAAAGGGGCTGCGCCAGGAATTTATCTGGTCAACCTGTAGCTAAGCAGACTGCCTGTGTGCTCTTTATGTATAGATGCATCTCTGGATTTCAGCAAGATCTTTTCCACTAATTGCAGAAGTAACAGAAATCAGGCAGTCTTCACCAGTATCCTGCCCTGGTTCTCCATGTGCACCAGAATTTTGTGAAAACTGAGTTAGTTTTCCATTTGATAGCATTGTTTTCCCCTCCAAAGTGAGGATTGAACTCTTTAGTTTGCAACAGGGCAGAAACAAGACGCAAACCCAAGCAGAATCCTTCCTTATTTTCTGCTGATTAGGTGTAAGTAGAAGTAATATCTCCCAACCCTCCTGAACTAACCAAGAGCCAATCTTTACAGTCACAAGGCAACAGAACCATCCCCGAATTCCAAGCCTCTGATTCAAGTAGCCGATACGCTATATCCCAGCCGTAACAGATCTCACAGCCTGGAATTCGTGAGCCATGTGCCTTGTCCTGTCCTCCAAGTGCATGGAAGCAGGAGACCAAGTGTGCTCTTTGTAGGGCCAAATGCAATTGGATTCCAAGGCAAAGCACCAAGCCCTGTCTGGAAGAAACAGATTATTAGACAGAGCAGCGGGAGGAAAGCACAAAGTAAAGGACTGGCAATCACTTTACCCCATTTCCGAATGAGAAAATGGACAGCGTCTAAATCTTGGATTTCACTGATTTGTAATTAAATGGTGCAATCCCCTCTTTCTCCTTTTCTTTGGCACAGATAGGTAAATATACCCACCACCAGTTTTACTACTTCCCTCCCATACTGTCATGCCGAACACTTCTTTTCTGATGAAATGCTTAGCACTGCAGCACAACAGCTGCAGAAGGCAGTCCGCAGGCATCCTCAAAGCCAAATTGAGACATAAATGATACCCAGCCAGAATAATAAGAGCAATCCCTCAATTTGTTGCTTGCTGACCCCTCTGTCCAGCCCTCCTAAGCATCAATGCTTTAGAACGACGAGTAAAACAGGAAATACTGCAATCACATTTATCTAACAGAGAAATGAACACACACAAATTATCTGCTTTCTGCAAAAGCATTTCATGAGCATTCATTTATTTGACCTAATAACACACTTAACGTCAGCAAGAACATTTGACCTTTTAGAATTGGCCAAAAAAAATACTCAAGTGAGATGGTATCAGATTAAGATTAATTGCAATTCCTGTTCTCCGTACTGTGCTGAGAAGGCAAAACAAATTGATCTCCTCACTTAAGGCAGGGGGGCAAAGGAAGATTTGTGAGCCAAGATCTTGGTGGGAAACCCTGGAATAAACTGCCGTGAAAAAAATCCTTAGATAAGCTCATATACGATAGCTGTACTTTATAAAGGCACTACCTTCACACAGCATCCAGCCTGATCGCTTGTGTGTGCTATTTGCCAAGAGCTCTGTCCTCATCATAGTAAGGGAGCAGAGGGAAAAACCACAGGAAATGCATTCTTACATCCCATGAGCACAGCCACTAGCTTGTAAGGACCCATTTGTGTCTTGAATATCATCTCAGAACATATTAAATAAGATCAGTTGCTTTCAGAAACGCAAAAACCAACTTCTGGTATTTTTCTCTGTCCTAGTGGCAAACACATTTGGATTGAAACACATTTAACAGCCAACAGTGCATTCATTCTACTATAGAACAAAGGCATGGATGACTTTAGGCACTGCCTCTGGTTTTTCAGAATGATGAGTTCACGTTCATCAGCCTCACTGACAGCAGGCATTAGTGGAGTCATTCCATTAACTTTTTTTTTTTTTAAAAAAGATGCTTTGATTTATCATCATGCCCAATACTGTAAGAGAAATGAGTATCTGCCACGAGCAACATAATCCAGTATTTTTCTTTTATCATTCTTCAAGAGAAATACATCTCTGGGATGGACACGAGTTGATGGAACAGAAATCTGCACATATTAATTAGTTTACACAAAGTCAGAAAACTGGTTTAGACAAAAGGAAAGAATTCTAGGGAAAAAGATCAACACTGTTTATTGTGGTTATCAGTGAGAGAATCAGCTGAATGTACTGCTTGCACTGTGCATGTTAGGGCTGCCCTTCTAATCCTGCTAAGCTTTAAGCAGACGCCACCTCCACGAAGGAAAAACCATGACACACATTTTGCTGTTCCGACAACTTTTTGGGTCGGTGTTCACCCTCCACCTGTCCAACAGCCGCTTTTCAGATGAAGCTGTTAGCAATTCAGGAAGCACAAAGAAGGAGAAATGCCAAGTCTGTGCCAAACACTCGCTAGACAAGGCTAGTGCTTGTACAAGTCCATATGCCACAACGGCAGAGAACAAAAACTATCACACACGAGGCTGATTTTGCATAAAACCCATGTGCAGTGCAGCTCAGATGCAAATGTTCCTCTTCCTTCTGGTAGGACAAACAACAGGTTTGTTGGGTCTGAGGGTTTGTTCTACGGATTACTTGATATTTAAGGTAAGAAACTTTAGTCCATTAAATACTTACTAGAATATAGCAAATTCTATGGAAAGCTGCCTGTAGTAGCTTTGAAAAAAAATCCATCTACTTGAAAACCCAACCTTTCTTCTTTGGTGTCTCTTCTCATTAATAAAGAAGAAGCTAGA